AAACTAGTTCTATCATTGGACCTGGACCTCCACTTGAAACAAAAACGGCCTCCAAGGTAAACATTTGTGTGTGTGATTAAAGCCTTTGTAACCTGTAGTAAAGGTAACTAACAAACCACAGAAAGCTGCTATCTTTATGGTTTTCAATAAAAGTAGTGCCCAAAGGAAGGTTTTACAACATTGTTCTCATTATGGGTTGATTTTTTGAAAATTGGCAATTAGTATAATACCTACAAAAGCAAATAGCTGTGGAAGCTTCTTAATACGTAGCACTTATTTTTTTATAGGTTATTCCTCAGGATACTGCTGATACTGCACCAGAAGATGGTGTTTATATCCATGGATTATTTTTAGATGGAGCTCGCTGGGACAGAACCAAGTCAGTAACAAAATACATTAAGTACAGTTTTAGTAAGATTTTTTAGCTGCTCGGATAAAATTTAAGTATTTTAAGTGTTACTTTACATACTGTTTCAGTAGTACACTTGAAAATATTTTCATTTTTCTTGGGCTCAAGAGAAGAAAATAAAGGTGACTCTTTTAATTACTGTTCTGCTAGAAATGTTGTGATGTGCTGATCTGCAGTCAAATCCAAATATTTCATATAGTTGTCTGGCAGCCTCAGCTGCAGATATATTTCAAGCACAGACTCTATTTGGTTTTTTTGTTCATGTGTTTTGGATTGTTTGGCGTCTATCCTGGGTCATCTTTGATCCTTTCCTATTCTTCTCTTCTTCCCTACATGAGTGCTCCACCTGCTGAATAAGTGACATTCTTGATGACTAATTTGATTGCAGCAGTTTTACAGAAAGCTGGACTTCCCTCAGAACAATTGTACTCCTGTGACCATGGTTATTCATAAGCTGGAAACACAGTTTAAAGTTCACTGTTGGATGGAAGGTGGTTTATGTGTGGAAAATGAAAAGCACACAGAAAAGCAACGCTCAGCCACAAATAACTGTTTTGTTGCTTTCTGTCACCAGGGGAATATTAGCTGAGCAGTATCCCAAATTACTCTTTGATATGATGCCAATCATCTGGATAAAGCCAAGTAAGTACTGAATACCAATGCTCCCATCCTCACCAAAGTACCCAGGTGTACACAGAATTCATGTGAACCTGACCTTGGCTCTAAGGAAAAAAATTTGCTGAGAAAAAAATTTGAGTGAGATGAGACTCATTCAGTCTCATCTCACTCAAGCGGTCGGCCTGTCTGTCTCTTCACAGGTGTTTGTAGTTATGTAATTGACCAATTGCCTAGTTACATTAACTATTATAAATTTGTGTAGTTGCTGCCCAGTCTGGTTCTCAACAAAGATACAATTTTGGTAGTTAAACTAAATGGTCTTTGAGTTTCTGCCTCTTCTCAAGTTGAGGAGATGCTTAAGCAAGACTTTATATTGCAGCTGTTGTAACTTAGCAATAAGTAGGTAATAGGCAGTTTTATAAAGCTTCCACCTTTTCTGCCTGCACATTCCATTGGGTGAATCTGTTCTCAGATGTGCACGATTTTAAACAAGATTTTTTCGCAAGCTGCATGTAAACAGTCTAGGTATACAAGAATCATTGAATCTACAGTGATGTGTATTGCAGTTATGTTCTGTGGCTGCAGAACCACAATTCTTACTGAAATATTAATTTCAAAATACTGTGTCTCAGCTGTAATCCCAACATGAAAGCTGAATTCTTTATTTGTGCAGATCTTCTGATCTGTATGATGGTTTTGAATAATTACAAAGTTGGTATAATCACAGAAAAACATCAATTCTTGAAATCAAATTGTAATTAAATTAGTTTTTGTTTTTTCTTAAAAATGAAGAAATCACAAAAGAAAACACAAAAAAGGCTAAGTATTATAGGGTACACAAAACAATTCTGCAATCTTTATTTAGCATTAAGGATATTGCTGCAAGTATTTAACAACTATATGTAGATCATGTCCCCATATATGTATATTTGCTGTACACAATATATTGCTGTTTTTTTTTTTTTTCTTTGAAGCTGCAAAATTGGATGTAAAGAAATCTAACGCCTATGTTTGCCCACTCTACAAGACAAGCGAGCGTAAAGGAGTCTTATCTACCACTGGGCATTCTACTAACTTTGTCATCGCTTTGACACTTAATACGGATCAGCCAGTCCAGCACTGGATCAAGCGAGGTGTTGCATTGCTCTGCCAGCTGGATGACTGACCCTGGGTGGTTCAGATACAAATGTCACAGGATACTTTTCTTTTTATTTGCTCACAGAAGAAGTGCAGCATGCTTTATACAGGCAACTTGTTTAGTTGTGGGGTTTGCTTTTTTTTTTTGTAATCTTAAAAGGGGGCGTGTTTCTGATCCCCAGTATTTTGCCTGAAATGAGTGTGTGTTGTTATTAGCACCTTTACAATCTACAAAGGATGCAGGTAGGATTTTAACCTTTGATAACATTCTTAACGTGTAAACAACAATTTTATGCATTGCTCAAATATTACAAAATATATCTAAATGAAAAACAAAAAATCGTCTGCACTTTCTTTGAGATACTTCAAAAGTTCACTGGTTGGAATGTATGAAGAGTTCTGAATCATGTGAGCAGAATCCCAGCAGACAGGAAGTCTGGGGATTTTTGTCCTGTGTTACATACAGCCTATGCTGTGTCACAGCAGCAGGGAACATCACAATACAAGAAATTGTTGAACTGTCTGTAATAAAGGGACTTTATAAAGTCCCTTCCTTGCTCAACAAATCCATCTTTTCAAGATACAGTTCAGATTTTTTGATTTACTGTTCTTTTTCTTTTCTAAATTGTTTCCATTACAGAGAAATGATCAAAATCTCCCTTATTACCAGTTGCCTGAAATGTTATTTCTTTTTTTTGTTGTTGCTCTGGTGAAGCACTCCAGTTTAGTTCCTTCAAGGATTCTGCAATTTAGTTTTCTTTAAAAAATAGTAATAATAATAAGTACTCAAACATTTTTCCTTAGATCTCCTGTAGTAAAGAACTAGTTCTAAGAGTAAATTAAGCACAGAAAACCCATCTTTCCCATTATATCTAGGCAGCTTTATCCACCATTGCTTTGCTTATTGTGTATTACAGTTATAAGCAGTTTTGAGTGTTTCTTTCTGAAACTTTGCTTTTTCCTTTAAAGACTGTATTATCTTTTGTTTGCTTTTCTGTTTATAATAGAATGTAAATTGTGATTTGGCAACCAGAAGCTCATAGTAATTTTAATAGGGTACTCTCTTGATTTTTATTTGCTTATTTATACTTACTTTCATTTTTATATAGTTTTCTTTATATACTGCCCTATATTTTTCTTACAGAAGCTGCTGACAGTGTCTATAGTTTTCCCTCTCAGGAAATCACTAACAATTTCCTTTCTATAACTGAACAGTTACTCTCTGTAGCTCTCAAATTCTCATTCCATGAGTTGTAGACAAGAGTATTTTTGTCAATAAACTGGATTTCTAATTTCTTCTCTTGCTGACACCATTTGTCAGATTAGATTATCAAATGTGACTAACCTGCATGAAAGTAACATGGAGAAAGTCCCGAAGTATCTTATGATCAGTTATTTATAGAGAGCTATTCGTGGACACAGACTCCACAGAGATCATTTTCAGTCCTGAAAATATTGCTTTCAACTTAATCACTTCTTCAAAGTGTGAAGCTTTCTCTCTTTCAGAAGGTGAGGAAAAAACTGCATTTTCTCGATTCTTAGGAAAATTAGTACTGAAAAGAAGCAAGTGTATAGACACATATTGTATTATACATATAATCAAATTCTAGCCATTACTTATGTGTTTATTCTTAACATGTTTCTCTTTCTTGATGTATGTGCAATTACAGAGCAAGACCTTGCAGTCACATGTTGCTGGATCAGGTAAACGATGCAAGCTTGCTGTGAATTGCTGCTGCTTAACTTGAAGATGTTTCTAGAAGTATTGCAAAAATTTTAAGAGCTGTGTGGATAACTTCTTTTATTTTGCTCATTTATTTATCCTCACTTTTATTTTATTTTATTTTATTGTATCTTATTATTTCATTCTGTTTTTAGCTTTGTTTGTTTGTTACTATTTATTTATTTGTTTCCAGCTCTCTTGAAAAACAGAAGTGGAAGTTTTGATGAGGTGAAATGGGGAAAGGCTTGAGTCTAATAGAACTCCTTTGATTTTTATCTATAATGACAAGTAGTTGAATATACAAAAGAATAGTGTGTCAGATTATCTATAAAGTGTTTGCATCTATAAGTAGGTGTACAGGTGTGTGTTAACAAGGAATGAGCAGTTGTGGTGTATCTGTTCCACATGGCTGTAGATGATGTACATGAGGTTGTAAATCTAGTCTTTTTTCAAGCAAAGAATTTGATGCTGTTTCAATTGGAAGATAAATTTAGCACATAATGTTAGAATGCACTGTTAGCACTCACCTGCAGTATTGTTTTCTACTGCTGGATATGGCTCTAGTGATAACTTTGTTGAAACAGGTTGAGAAAACATATTACCAAAAATATTTGTGTCCTTCACCTACTGTTCACCACCTGTGAACAAACAGAAGAACCATCCCAAATTTTGTTTCAGATCTGTTTTCCTGTTAAGGAAAGATCAGGGCAGGACTGTGATGTTTGAGTGTCTGGAAGATTTAAGAGGGAAGGACTATTTAAACTACCTCAAAATTATGTTTTACTTATTTTTGCTGCTTTCCAGTAAATAATACCAGAAAAAGTAGCTATTCTGTATGTTCCTTCTGTAGAATAGAGATAAAAGCTAGCATGTGCCATTGGACTAGAAACCTTTATTATGTTCTAAACAAGACAGTTCTCTTTGTGGTGGTCCAAATTAAATACTTGGCAGAATGCTGGAGCTTGAGTTGGAGAAGTTCTGATTAAGTTCATTTAGGCTGTGCTTTGTTTCTCTTGATACTTAAACAGTGATTACTATTTCTATTACTCCAGACATAACCTGAAGATTTAACATCTGCATCCAATTAAAAAAGCCCTGTTTTCCTACAAAGAGGTGATCCAGGTTGTGCTGATTGGCTATGCATAATTCTGTATACATATTTGATGATCATTCTGATGATGAAATCCCCACCCAGCAAGCTATTCAGGAAAGCTTACAAGATATTCATAAAATGGAAAGAAGTGCCAATGCAATAGAGGATGAAAGGTAATGAGTTACTACTTCTATTTTTGGTGGTTTCTTGGCATTATTATATGTCTGACCCTGTCTTGTGGATACCACAGGCCACTTGTAGCTTGTCTGTTCAGAGTTCTCCCTAGAAAAGCATGCCTATCTTGTCTAAAATGTGGAATGTATGAAGCTTTCTGGTGACAGCTTGTCTAATAACTAAAAGCCTAATATCTAAATGAATGCAAGGGTTTGTTGAAGAAAAGCATATATTAAAAAAAACAACAGGTTGGTGTGGCAGCTTTTCCTCGTTTTAGTATTTAACTGTTGTCCTTTGCTGGAAAGCCAAAATTTATAGTGGCACAAGAAGACCAACAAAAATGCATTTTAATGTGTTAAACTGACAAAACTCACACAAGTTAAAGAAATGTAATCTGGTTTAGACTTGAATGGCTTAAACTAACATGTATTTATGAACGGAATGTCTCATTAATTATAGCACTGTCATGTTGTGTTCATGCAGTTTCCTGTACGTTGCAAGCAAAGAACGTGAAGAGATAATTGCAGCAATTCGGACAGTTAAGTACAAAGACACCACACCACCCCTCTGTATCTAGGAATCACAATGCCTACATTCTGAGTTTGATCAGCTATTTTAATTGCAGTTTTTCTTTATGTAGTCCTGGAGAGAGTTAGGCAACTGAGAACAGGGCGCACAAAAGCTAGCTTTTATTAAATAAGAACACAGTAATGGAGTGGGTTCATATGTCACTCCTCTCTGAGATTGCAGTACTTGATCTCCTAGAATCAGGGATAATGCCAGTCCTTTCTTATAAAATTAACCAACAGGATAGCAATGTCCCTAATCAGTTAATGCCTCATTAACCAATATTTGCCACTTTGTGAGATAACCAGATTGAAATCCCATCTCTCCCTGAAGTGTACCAGAATTATTCTTACATGGGAGGCTCTTTGTCTGTTTTCTTGAAACTTGCTTTTTTTGATAGAATCATTTTACATATGTCACAGAGACAGCTAAAAAAGGAGCATAAGAAGGACAGTTAGGACAGTTCTTAGGACAGTGGTGTGACAGTGGGAAGCCTTCTGTCCAGTCCTTATACACATAGCAAGTAGTTACAGAAATGTTTAGTGGAGTAAGAATCAAGAGCTCAAGGCTCCTTTGGAAAAGCAGATTTGTTAAGTACACCACACAATGAAGAATGTGCCTAGACTCTAGTTAAACTTTGTGTCTAGTCTAATGAATATACAATTCTTTGATAGGTAGGAAAACTTCAGCAGAAGGGATTGAAAGCGGGCTATCCCAGTACCGTATAGTTGTAGCTAATAGGAGAGCAGACTGCCTTCTTCCAGGAATGGTGGGATAAAAAAAAGCAGTACAGTCAGGACCTCTACTTAGAGGCTTTCTAGCCAACTGAAGTTTCACTGCTTCTCCATGAGATATCAAATTGAAAACATAATCACTTTTGTTAATTAGAATTCCAGTAAGGCTTTTAGTAGAAGCAAGAATGAGTTTCATCTCAGTTGTCAGCTTCATTTTACTTTTGCCAACCTGAATATTTTCCATACAATTCCATTAGGACACCTGTTTGCTTAATACGCTAAAATCTTCTGCACATGAGAGGATTGTAATTCAAGTGTTTTAGCTGTATTAATTATAAGCAAGTGTATCCTTCAAAATGCTCTGTGAGTTGGTGTGAATCACTGATTATTCCATTCATGTATTGCTTTGATATTTTTTGTTTAATTCTTGATATGCTGCTGGGATAAATATCACTCAGTATATTGTTTGTTTTAATTCTGTGTTATGATGAGTAATGAAATACACATCTGTTTCGAAATATCACAGGCCAAGAAGAGGCCTTGAAGAAGTTGGTGAGGCACAGTTCTGCTTTTGAGGAAGCAGATCAGCAAGGCTGGCTTCCTATGCATGAGGCTGCAGCTCAGCTAAATAAGAACATCCTTGAAATAACTTTAAAAGGTATGGGGTCTTTTCTGATTTTCCACCAGAATGTTTTACAAAGCCAGATTTGATGAATAACTTCAGATGTGTACTGCTTTTCTGAATTTCAGCCTCCCATGCCTCTACATGGGAACAGACCACACTAAGAGGGGAAACACCTCTCATGGTGGCCGTCAGAAACTGCTTTTTGGAAAATGTCCACTTTCTACTGCTCAATGGTTGCAATCCCAATATTAAGAATGAAGATGGAGATTCTCCTTTAGTTGTAGGTGAGTGTCTTATTTGGGGGTAGAGAGGTGAGAGAATAAGGTAAGTTTGTAGTTACATGCAGTAGGTTGCAATTTTACTTATTTGACTTATGCAGAGTTTAAATTTTTTTTGTATCAGGAGCAAAAAATGTTAATTTCAGTATTGAATGTATTGTCTGTCTTTCTTAAAAGATATCAGGGCTTTAATTGAGCTGACGTTCCATGCTAGGGACTGTCACTACAAAGTTCTGAGCATTATTTATTAATTAAAGTATTGTCCTTTCCCTTACTGTCTTGACAGATCAGACTTATTAAGATAATAGTAAGACATATGTGACACAGTCATTTTTAGTCTTTGTTTCATGTTTATGGTAATTGCCTATGATGATTAATGGAGCAGGCCAGCTCTGGACTGCAGTAAGTGCCCCTGTATGTGATCTCCATCTAGTGGCAGGGAAGGCTGCATTCCGTTACAAAAGGAACCAGCAGAAGATTACACAGACAAGGAGGTTACCATAAAATTATTCCTAATTTATGATACCCTGAAGAGAAAGAACAGACTTGGTGAGAAGTTAAACCTTTCAGCGTGATGTTTCTCGGTGTATAAATAGCAGTGCTGGGAACAGCTTGAGCTTTCCTGGGCTGCCACCCAACGGAAACTAGGCAACGGTCTGACGTTTTGGCTAATGCTTTCATTATTTTCTTACAGCAATTAAACACAATTCATATGAGGTTGCCTCCTTGTTGATAAATTTTGGAGCAAAAGTGAATTTGCAGTGTATCCACAAGAGGACTGCTTTACACGAGGCTGCCAGGCTTGGCAGAAAGGATCTGGTGATGCTTCTGCTTCGTTCTGGAGCAGATCCTGATCCTCGCAGTGGATATGGGCTCACACCTCTAGCACTGGCTGCACAAGCTGGACATACAGAAATTATGGAGCTCTTATTGCAAAAAGGTGAGACTTCTTTAGGAAGAGGAGGCTTAGGGCAGGGGGATCTTGCCAGTGTTATCAGTATCTGATGGGAGGGTGTTAAGAAGACAGACCCAGATTCTTCTCCTTGATGCCCAGTCAGGGCACGTGGCAATGGACACAAGTTGAAACCTAGGAAATTCCATTTGAACACAGCAAAACACTTTTTTTTTTTCTGTGAAGGGTGTTGAACATTGGAACAGGTTGCCCAGAAAAGTAGTGGAGTCTCCATGCTTGGAAATCCTCAACAGTCTACTAGAGCTGACTCTGTGACAATATCTTGTCTCTGGAGGGTGAAAGTGATTATTGCTGGGTATTTCCAGTGACCACTGTGAAAATCCTCAATGCTTCTTTCCAGGTGCTGATGTTCTTTCACAGGCAATGGATTATTCTTCTGTATTATTTGAAGCAGCAGGAGGAGGAAATCCAGACTCTCTGAATCTTTTGCTAGAATATGGGGCTGATGCTAATGTACCAAAGCACTCGGGTCATTTACCAATCCACAGAGCTGCATATAGAGGACATTTTCTGTGAGTTAATATAAACTAAGTAATAGTGAGACCAAAGATATTAATTTTACTAATGTTAAATTTGTAACCAATAAGTAAGAAACAGCTCTTCAACACTGGGATTGTTCTGTTGTGCTTAAAAATCTAGGAATTCTACATTTCCATATTAATACATATATTTAAATTGCATTTAAATATTCTGTTGTGTTAATTTGAATGTATTGTTTGAATGTCAGTGTGATACTATGTTATGTTAATTGTATGTAGGGATTAATATTATGTTGTGTCAATTCCCTAATTCCTATAGGCTGTGCAACAACACAGTGCTCTTCATGACCCCAGAGAGCTCTCATTGAAAAGGAATGATTGTTCTGCTAGCATAGAATGCAGTGTTCATGAAGAATAGTATTAAAATTTATGATTAGTAAATGTAAAATCGTGGTTTCCATTGCTGGCTGTTTTATCCTTAACAATTAATGTAGAGGTAAAGCATGCCGTGGTACTGGTTTGGTAGATTAAAACTATGGAATATAGTCAGAATAAACTGTAAAGCCCAGTAATGTGAAGATTGAGCTACGTGAACCAGCATGCTTCAGATTCCCTTATTGTCCTTATTTTTCTCCTTCAGTGCCCTAAAGAATTTAGTTCCAGTTACTAATTTTGATGCCATTAAAGAAAGCGGAATAAGTCCAATTCACTCAGCAGCAGCAGGAGCACATCCTCAGTGCCTCGAGTTTCTCCTCAAGTCTGGGTTTGATGCCAATTTTATGCTGGATCAAAGAATTCGCAAAGGCTACGATGACCGCCGGAAATCAGCATTGTACTTTGCTGTTTCAAATGGGGATATCAGTTCAGCACAGTTGCTGTTGAATGCTGGAGCCCTGCCAAACCAAGATCCCATCAACTGTCTCCAAATAGCCTTGAGAATGGGCAACTATGAGTTAATGAATTTACTGCTCCGGCATGGGGCTAATGTTAATTACTTCTGCAGAGTGAACACAACGCATTTTCCATCGGCTCTGCAGTATGCTCTGAAAGATGAAGTCATGTTAAGAATGCTGATGAACTATGGCTATGATGTGCACCGCTGCTTTGATTGCCCTCGGGGAGATGTTTCCCATTCCCAGTACGTGACTGATGGATGGACTTCTACTGTTATCAAAGATACAAAGGTGAGTATATCACATGGCTTTGTATGTTGTTGTTTTACCGCCGGCATCATTCATAAAGCTAAATGAAAATGCACTTAAATTGATCTGTCAGAAACAAAAGTTTTAAACACTTTACTCATAAAATTAGGAGTGGACAAGGCTTTCAAATTAACATTACCACAAGACCTAGTTCATGGCAATAAATTATCATAATCTGTATTTTACAATTGTGAAAATACAGCTAATGATTAGCACAGAATTTGCTTTCTGGGGCAGTCTTGTCCATGCTGTGAAAGCAGGAACTTAAATACTAGCTTGTGAGCTGTACTGTATCATGTCATTAATACTAGAAGTCTGCTGTAGGGACCCACCTGATAAACCTGGACTGACCTAAGCAAGTTCCTAGATACACCTCTCAGAGCCACTGTTGTGCAGATTTTAAAGTCCATTCAAATGTAAGAAGCCTTTATTTAATCTGAAGATCATCAAATTACTTAGGTTGGAAGGAATCACATCCAGTTCCAACCAGCTCATGCTGCCCAGGGCCCCATTCATATCCTTGAGCACCTCCAGGGATGGGGTACCCACAGCTCTGGGCAGCAGTGCCAGTGCCTCACTGTCCCGGGTACAGAATTTCTTCCTAACATCTAACCTACGTCTCCCTCTTGTAATTTAAAGCCATTTCCCCTTGTCCTGTGACTGTCTGACTGTATAACAAGTCAGACACCTTCCTGCTTACATGTTCCCTTCAAGTACTGGAAGGCTACAATGTGTCTCGAGACTCCTCTTTTCTCCAAGCTAAACAAGCCCAGTTCCTTCAGCCCCTCTCCATAGGAGAGGTGCTCCAGCCCTCTGATCATCTTAGTGACCCTCCTCTGGACCCTCTCCACCAGCTCCACATCTTTCCTGTGTTGGGGGCCCCAGGCCTGGGTGCAGTTCTCCAGATGGGGCCTCATAAGGGCAGAGCAGAGGGGGACAATGACTTCCCTCTCCCTGCTGCCACACCTCTGTTGATGCCACCAGGATACTGTTGGCCTTCCAGGCTGCAGGAGCTCACTGCTGGCTCATGTCCAGCTTTTTGTCCACCAAGACATCTGCAGGGCTGCTCTCTGTGAGTTCTCCCAGTATATTCTCATGCCTGAGATTGCCTCAACCTTGCATTTGGCCTCATTAAACCTTATTAAATTGGGTGCCTGCTTTTCAAGTGTATCCAGGTCTCTCTGGATGGTGTCCTTCCCTTTTATTGTGTTAGCTGCACCACTCAGCTTGTTGTCATCAGCAAACTTGCTGAGGATGCACTCAATTCCACTGACACAAACATGTGGTGCACTGGGCTGGTGGGACCTGTTTGGCAGGCTGGGACACAGATCTCTCCCAGCAATGTCCAGGAAGTTTAAATTTCCTATTGAGGTTTAAGAATTCCTCTTCAGGAATGGTAGCATGTCTTTTTAAGCACTTAGGTACCAAATATACAGCTGTTAAAGTTCATTTTTGGTTCTAGCCCAGTACAAAATAACATCTCTCAGATTTTCAGATTGCATTGGAGGCTTGATACAAGCTGTGACAACCCTAAAGCTCCTCTAACTGGCACTCCTTCCTGGTGTTCTGCTGTTATAAAATTGCTCTTGCCCTGCAGAGGTGGAAGTAATTTAGAGAAGTATTGGATATTTTCCAATTAAAATGTTTTGTTTCCATCAGTTCTGTGAAGTGATAACCTTGTCATGGCTGAAGCATCTTTGTGGGAAAGTAGTGCGAGTAATGTTAGATTATGTTGATCATGTTAACATCTGCTGGAAGCTAGAAGCAGCTCTCAAAGAGCAGGAGCTCTGGCCAGACATCAATTCGATTTTAAGTAAGTATCTGATAGATTTGAAATAGCAGACCAACTGCTCTGGGATTGGGACCTTTTTGTTGGTGGTATTTTAGATTTATTTTTCTGAGGGTTGGTTAAGCCAAAAGTTATGTTTTGACAAGAAGGTATTTCTGAAAAGAAAATCAGTCTATGTAGTGTTTAAAGTAAGATAACTCTGTCTGATAGCTGTGACAGACTGTAACAGCACACATTGTGTGGAGCAGCTGAGAATTTCCAATGTAACGTAGACAATAAAATCCTCTTCAGTAGGAGAAAAGCTTTTCCCTCACCTCAGGTTGATGGAAGCACTCTAATAAAGTAACTGTCTAGAAGTGAGCAATTTGAATTCTAGCCTAGCTTAATTGTGTCCTTTTTATTAGAACACAGATTAAAAACAAGGATGTCAAAATTCTCATTTTTAGTAGCTTCTTCAGGCTGGCAAAGAGCTGGTACCAGTTATTTGGGGTTGCTTTCCTGAAAATTTACTGCTTACATTCTGTAAAATAAGCATAATTTGTTGAGCTAGCTGGTAAAGACATGGGCTGAGGTCCAGGGCTTAGAACTGACGGGGACAGGCACCCAAGGACAGGCACGTGCAGTAAAATCTGGAGTGGTTTTTGATAGGTGTAGGGGAGCGAGCACTTGCACAAAATGATTAAGGGACTCATTAATATCAATCTCCTGGCTCCTAGCAAATCCTCGCTCCCTGAAACATCTCTGTCGCCTGAAGATACGGGAATGCATGGGCCGGCTGCGTCTCCGTTGTCCTGTCTTCATGACCTTCCTTCCACTGCCCAACTGCTTGAAAGACTACATACTATACAAGGAATATGATCTCTATGGACCGGAAAGTTTCTTGGGAACCTCCAGTGTCAACTGCACATAATTATTCTGTATTTTGAAGGGAACGTCGAGGTGGGTAAGACTAAAATATTTTCTCCTTTTTTCCTTTGGGATTTTATCTCATGTATACTGAGATATATATACTGAGTCTCAGTGTTCTCCCTCCCCCCATTCCGTGAAGAAAATGGGTAGAAGCCCAAAATATAAATAGTGATGATCCCATGCTACGTATACACTATAAAGTGAAAGTTATGTGAATGGCTATGGCCATACTACGTAAAATGCTTTGAGTGAAAATGTAAAGAACCATTGCAATCACTGGTACAGCTGTGAGCCTTGTATCTGTGTGAGGAGAAAGCCTGGCATAACATGTGACCCTACTTTCAATTGCAGTGTTACATTCAGGGCCTTCAGGTAAACAGATGACAGCATTTCTGAAATGTTATTTCCATATCTCATTACCAAGTACCAATACGTCTCATTCACTATATAGGTGATTATAAGTGTGTTTGGACAGCACCATAAGAGAAAGCCAAGTTCTGGAGAGAGCAGTTTTCCTATTTCTCCTCCAGTAGGTGCAGCTACAGCTTATGGAGCATTTACCTGAAAGCAGTCACACTTATCTTACAGAACAATACCTAATCATTCAAAAAATGCTACATATGCTAGTCTGTCTTCAAAAAAAAAAAAAAAAAAAAAACCAACAAAACACATTTGGTATTAATAGTATTTATTCCTTCATTATCAGTTAAGCATAGATTTTCTAGTTATACATGCATCTGTATTCACTTAGAGTTACATAGTTCAAAAGTCTGCTTTTCTCCAGAAAAAATCTACAAATCTTATAAAATACAAATTTAACCGTAATGTAGTATGACCCATTGCTTTTCACATGGTGTCTGTCATGTAATTAAGAAAACTAATGAAGCCAGTGAAAACAGGTGGAGGTACTCCCATTAATAGTTGTGCTGGTAAAGCTTCTGTACGAATGAATTCTGATGGTTACCATAACTGCAGCTCTGTACAACGTGCTCCATGTTGTCATGTAACAGAGCAACATGTGCACTAAAACAGCCAGCAGAGACAGAAAGAGTTTTTTCTTCTAACGTTCAGACTTTGATTGTTGCAGAAGTTATCAGCATTCCCATGTAGAGTAACTTCCTCTGAGGAGAGCTGGCTGATATGATTAAAATTAAGAAATAGAGATGCACGTTCCAAGAGAGAGATTCAACTGCATGTTAGAACTTGGTTTAATGGAAAGGAATGCATCCTGTCACCAGTAACGTTACACCCAGAACATCACTACTAGGAAAGAAGCAGGCAGTTCTTGTATCAGGACAAATTCCACTCAGAAAGTTACTATGCTTAAGCTTTTACGTAACCCACAAAATGCTGACTGAAGTTTTGGCATAATACATACTATTGGTGCTTCCAAGATTAAGACACAACAATCAAAGCTGAATTGAGTAGGTATGCTATTGGAGGTGTTTAATACAGCTATTCGGGGACAAATGTGTAAGTCTCAAACATTGCAAAAAATCACTTACACTTCACTAGGACCAATCCAGAACATCATCATAAGAATTTGACCACTCCACTGCATTATAAAAGTGACCTGAAAGATTGTACAAAATCCTTGGCTTGCAATATAAACTTCATTAGGAATACAAGTGCAATCACAATGACATACACCAACTTATTCTTGTCATGAGAACTTAGATATCACTATGGCATGACAAAAACACAGCTTACTGCTTGGGTAGAAAGAAAAACCTTGGAGATTGATAGACTTGCAAGAAATTCTATAAAACAGAGCAAAGGAAAGAAAGTAAGATAGCAGTTCTTGCTGTTAGACTAAATATCTCAACTAAACTCACTAAGCAGAGGCAGGATTTCTTTCTTTGAGTGTGTCAGTTCTGGACATAATAAGGGATTGTGTAACAACATAGCTTTCTTCACTGGCTTCTCCTAAATTCTGTGCACCTTCTCTAATTCATCAGACTTCACCTTAAACATATGACCAGCCAATATTTTTCTGCAGTGGAAATAAATTATATCTTTATAAAAAGTCTCAGCTGCAACAGGTTTGTCAGCTGTGGTTTCACATCCATATAAAGATGTCATTTCTCTGCATGTTTCTTAACTCTTAAATATTACTTGTCTGTTAGTTGGTAAGCTGTCTTGATAAAATTTCCAACTTAAAAATATTACAGAAATAACAGACTATCAAATCCATGCTTGCTTACATCACACACATTACCAGGTCTGTGTGGCTAAGCTGCATATGGCTATTAACTTGTCCTCTGGTTTAGGCTTCTAGAAATCTATTCATGGCCATAAATAAGCACTTGGTATTAGTTACAATGCAATGAAATGCATGCTGTAGTTTGCCCATACTTTTTATATATTTTGATATTCACACTGCTACATTCATACAGAATGGATGTAGAGCAGAACAACTAAGAGCAAGAGGTGCTGGTCTACATCGTGTAATAAACTTAATATCCCATTACCCAAGTAGTTTCTGAAATAATACTATGTTCACATGAAGCAAATTACATCTTCAGCTGGAAGTGCTCAGATGACCAGTCCTTAAGTAAAAGGCAACAGGAAATATTAAACAGGCAAAATAAATTACGAGAAAGGAAACCAAGCAGTAATTTATTTAAAATAACAGGTGGCGAAACATTGCCACAGTCATTCCCAGGAGAACATGAGGTGTTTATATTACAAGTTGTAATCTCAAAGTAAATATTAAGAACTCTAATTTTTTTAGTTAAGAAACATGTTTTCTGATGAAGTAGCTCTACAGTTCATAGTTTAAAGAGTACCAGAAAGATTTTCTGGGGGAGGAGGACATGGATAAAACCTCAGCAGCTATTCTTTGCCTTATGGTAGTTCTATCCACAGACCCAGGTGCTCTTCCCTTTAAGTGGCTCTGAATAATTCTCATCCCACTGCTAATTCATTGTAATGTTCCATTTTAACATCCTCATCTCCCACAACTTGCCCTTTGCTCCTGCAGCTTTCATCACTTTTCCAGAAGCTTTTCTATCTATCTGCTCATTTTACACCACCAAAACTCTCCTAAACAAGCAAAACAAAACCACCTCATTTCATTCATGCATGTCACTTTTTCCGAAGTGCTGCTCTCCTCATTTATTTCCCTTCTTTTCAGAGGGTTAGGAGAAAAGAATCATTCACTGCAAGTGAAATGCAACTCAATCCTATGCTGTCTGATTAAGAGAACTACATTTAATGGTATAGATGGTAAAACATGAACTAAAACTGGAGTAATTCCAATCAGATATCGTTTAATCTGAAAAATTGCATAACGGCAATGTAGTGCATCAAATTTTTCTTGATTGCCTCCTCATAGTTGTATATTTATGTCTAAAACATAATGGGTGGGTTCAAGAAAAGATAACTCAGCTCTCTGCCCTCTCTCCAGTAAGGCACCCTGTCAGCAATACCTTTTGATGAGGTTGCTGATCTGTTAGCTGTCTTCCTCGTGGTGCTGTGGCTACTGCAGCTCATCTTACTCTGACAGCTTGGTGACCAGATTCTTGGAACTGGGGACCACTGATGTAATACTTTTCTGTGCTATTGCTGAATTAATTTATCTTTAACATGTAATCAAGGAAGACACAGTAAATTTGGTGGTTAAAGGTTGGACTAGATGATATTAGTTGTCTTTTCAACCTTAATGATTTTATAAATTGCCACTTGTGCTGGCATGTCATTTCATAGAGAATAAAAATCATTAAGTACAAAAAAAAAGAAAAAAAAATCCAAGAAAAAGAAACACAAACTGAAGCAACTTATAGAATAAACTGGCTGCCACGCAACTAGATATAGGCAGGAAAAGGAAAGAAAAAGAAAAGCATTTGCTGCCTTTCTGCATGTTTTTGTTGAAAAGAATAAAAGTAGCCTCTTACAGATGAGAATACAAGACTAGATAGGAAGTAAATGCCACTTAAATTTTTGCTTGTTGTTGTTATTTGTTTTTAAAGCCTTAGATGTGTATGGTCCATGTGACACTACGAAGGCAACATCTGGCCACAGACTGATGCCACATGGTCTGACTGGATAACAGCAAAAGCAGGTACTTCTGCAAGCTACTGGCTACTGTGAGGACAAACGTGCTGAAACAGAAGGAAGAGAATCTGGAGCCTCTCTCTTGCTCAGTCTCCCTCTCCACCTCCTCTTTTAAATACTGTGAGCGTTTCCACAGCTGCTCAATCCCTTCTGTATGCTGTGGTGCCAGTGACACCATGAGAGCAATGCTCCCTTCTCTTTGCTGTGACAGGAGGCAGATGCAGTTGGTTGCTGCATAGAAATGTCTATCTATCTCCAGCATAAGAAGCAAGAGGAGACTGCCTTTGTCAGCCTATGCAAAACAACTTCTGAGCTATTAAGGATAGTATTCCTTTTTTGCACAGCCACCTAGCACAGAGGTCCTGAAATTCTTCACTTAATCAGCACCATGCAATTCTAGCTATGAAGGGCTGGGCTGAAAGCCGAAGACTAAAAATGCTCTGCAATGAACTGTAAAACACTCTTAACCGTTATAAAACATCTTAGAATATATTCTTCTCTTTCTACATTTTCTGTTATGCTCAGGCCACTATTAGAGAGACATCTGTTCCATTGGAGTTTAGTATTTATAGTAATTAGTGCAAAAATAAATATTTCTTCTTACTTCAAACACGTTTTCTCTTCTGGATCAAAAGATGAATGCACATTTAGTATTATACAAAATAAATATTACACAGGGTATGGACCATGGAGTTCAGGCTTATGAGGTATAAGCAGAGACTGCTTTGAAAAATGCGTTAGGAGACTAACTTTAGGATATAAACTAGCATAGTCTTTTACTTCTCTTTGCAAAATACAGTTCCATAAAGAGACTTAAAAAGCTTTAACTAATTTTCAGCAAATGTAGTTACTGGTAGCAAGGCCTTTATGGATTCAGATTTTTTCAAGTGGTGGAATTCAATGTTTCTGCAACTCTACGCATGTTTTTATTGAAAATGAACTCAGCGGCTTACTGCTCTTCTTTACACACTGGAGAAAAACCAGGAACATGGCACTTGTACATTATATTTACTGTTTTATAGGGAATTCTTTATGCATTCCTCATGCAGCAAAGTGCAACTGCATCTCTTCAGCTCTTACCTATGTCTGACAAGTATTTTCTTTTAATCTCCTCTTCAAGGAAGCCTTCCAGCATTATAATCATAAAAAAAAGACAGTACCATACAGTGCAATATGAAACAAAAACTATGATCTTTCTTTCTAGAACTATTGCACATCACATTGATGTTAATAAGGATTTTTCTTTCTACCTGTAAGAACAGTTTTATGTGCAACAAGTTCTATAAAGCTCAGCACTGTCTTATCTGGACACCCACTTTTGTTTCCAGCAAGGTGTTCCATTCACTGCAGTGTAAAGAACAAATTTCAGTACTCCTCAAGTTCAGTGAGAGCTTAAGTTTCATTTCCAAAGCAGTCAATTGCACAGATGGATAAATGGAAAAAAGAAAAAGCCATCTTTTTCCCTTCCTGCAGAGAATTCTTTGAGAAAAAATAATTTTGAAAAAAAAAGAATGGTGATACTACCATGTCTATCTGGCATACAAAAGAGGAACTGACATGAAAGTGGAAATCACTTAATTGAGAAAGAAACAGCAAGGCATATTGGGGTCTAGACATTGTGAAGTCTTTTATATAATACAACAGACCCTCCACCTATATTTCACTTCTTGTAAAACTTATATCCGAGATTCCAATTTTAATTAACTAGGCAACCTTAGGTTTCAGATTCCCTTTTCTTCTTTCCATCCTCTCCTAAATCGCTGTCTTCTGACTGGCTGCTGCTAAGGACTACAAACTGTCCTTCTCCACTGCTAGGGTTTGATCTGTTGGAAGCAGCAATCAGTCGGCTTTGCTCCTCTAAGTCCTAATTAGAGAAAGGAGGGAGGAAAGGGAAGGAAATGAGAAAAATCATATTCACGTTAAAGCTCCCTAAGGTAGAAACAAAATACTATTACTAAGATTTGGACATTTGGGTTTCAAAAGCTGACATCAGTAGGATGTTACGTTTAGCGGCTCTGTACCGGTAATTCATGCAATACAGCAGGTCAGAACCAACAACTTGGCCTGCAGCCTGCTCCATGCAGCCCCTGCCTCAGTCTCTAGCTGAACCTTCATCTCCAATTGAACTGTCCCAGTGCATGGCAGATATTTACTTGCAGCCATGTATTGGACAGTTTGTGATAGGTGTTCCTTCAAGCACTGCTCTTAATTATGCCTATGAGGATGTTTTGTTGTTTATCTCCCCAGAAAACCTCTTTTGAAGAACTATAATACAAAATTATATAGGATCTGCACAGAAAATACTTCAGTAATTAACCTGATTCCACAATACTCTATTTGTGCCAAAGAATGTGATATTGCAGCTGGAACTACAGAGCTACAAAACAAAGTCACTAAACAGGAAAAAAACACAACAAAAATTGCATTACAAGTAAGAAAGTGTACCTTTTCAATTTGTTTTTGTTTAGTCAGTTCTTTTTGTTGTTTCTCTTTGACTCTCTCCATTTCTTTTTGCTTTTCCGATGCTTTTCGATCCTGAAGGGCAAAAATGACAATAAAAGAAACAACTGCCCAAGGGGCTTGATATGCTGTGGGCTTATCTGAGTTTGCTCAAAAATGCTAGCACACCTGATTATGCTTCTTTTAATGGACAGGTATGTTTATTAAAGGTAAAAAGCAGATTCCAATCTTGAGTATTGTTCTAAGACAGACATTTGTGATGGTCTTTTTATCTTGGGCTCAAATTCTATAAAACATTCCTTTTGAGTTCTCTACAACAGCATTACTGCATCTATAAGCATCTTGTAGACTGTATTCTATTATGCACACTAAATATGCCTTCTCCCTTCTATTCACAAGGATATACTGTCCCCTAAAGAGATTCTTACCAGTTCTGCATGGAAAGCAATCTGTTTCGCCAGTCCAACGGAGTCACAAATCTAAATACAAATCAGATTTGAAATAATCTGTAAGGATCTAACAAAAATGCCTTTAAAAGCATGCCACATTCCCAAATGAGGTATGATAGCATGCTAAAGCATTTTACAGTTACTTCAACTATTGGGTTAATTTGTTTTCAGTACGTAAACTCTCCCACAGACAGCTGGAATGGAACTAACACCTTAGAATCCATGGCAGAAAATGATTGGAATCAGAAAATGAAAATGGATACGAATATAACCATCACCAGTACCTTTTCCCCTTCATTATTTGATTCAAAGATATAGCAGATGGAAGTTTGTCTACTGTCAGCTCTCCCTCCTGAAGTTCTAAGCACAAATCCAAAGAGCCGCTTATTCTCCTGATGTGTAGCATACAAGACTACACTGGGCAAAGGAAACTGCCAGAAAGGATCAAATACAGAGAAATTAGAAGTGTTTTCAGGCATTCAGTATAGATTTTCACTGTAATGCACATTACTTCAATATCAAAAACACACAACCACACCTGAGAAAGTTACAACCTGACTGAAAATGTAATTGCCAAACACCAAACAGTGGGTTAGAAGGGAATTATTGCAGATAAAGGAGGGGATTACAGTTGCAATGACATTCAGTCATCTTTCTAAATGTGAACACTTCTTAAAAAATTTTCTTTTAAAAGTGACATCTATACAAGCTGCATTTGTGAGCAGTTGCAAAGCTCTCAGCATTTGGTGCCAGATGAAGGCTCTTTTCTGAAACATTTTCTGCAAGAAGTTTAGCTCTCCTGAATCATGTAAGCAAGACAAAAAAAAGATTACATTTTTGTATTGTTTCAATAAAAATGCTTTGTATTCTCAATTCCTAAAAGAAGTTGAACCAGAAATTTCAAATGACTCAGTACAGAAGTAAGCTTTCAAACTCTGAAGCCCCTACTGCAATTGTTACAAACTGACAGCATGGGAGTTCTTCCTCACCACAGAGGAACACACATAGAACACTCCATTTGCACTCAGTTCTTTACCTCACCTGTAAAAGCTCACAGCTTTGGGGCAGTTCTGAACTTACTGCCACAAAGAAGGAACAAAAAAAAAAGAAAAATATACACTGCGTAATATGAAGAACATTTCATATGCTTAGCACTTCCTTTTATAGAAATGACAACAACTCAGGGTCCCTGACAAATTGAGCGTCTTTATAAATTAAATGACCATAAACCGTGCAGAGATAAAGGGAGGGGAGGCACAGTTTTGAAATACAGAAAATAAAGACAGCTATTAATGAAGAATTGTCAACCATATTTGATTCCACATGAAAATCCCATCTATTTTTTTCATGTGCATTTTCTGTAAAGAACTAAACAAACCAGCGCTATGCAACACTGTACATTTGATTATAGAAAAACAAAAAACCCAAAACAAAAGAAAAAAAAAAGCAACAAAAATGTTTTGAACTTCTGAATTCATTCCAGTCTTAATTCTGTTTCTCTACTAATTATATCAACCAGATTGTTAAAATAAAATACTTTTATTTTCCTAAGATTCTACCCTATCAAATGGGGGGAAAAAATGTTATAAAAAAAACCTTTTTTCTCCTACTGAGCTCAATCCCCTTAAACCCAATGTTTGCATCAGCCTCCCAGTTTCTGTCTGGAAATGTCATGCTGTCAGTGATTTCTGCTAACATTTAATAATATTGTTTAAAAAGTAAAAGAATTACTTTGCTGGGTATTTATCTTAAAATGTAAAGTTACTTACTCGTAGTCTTGTAACTTGTGTCTGTGGATCAATTAACCTAAAAATTTGGTTTTAAAAACAAACCAGAAAGTAAATTTTACCAAAGTGAAAAATATTCCTTCTGTAAATAAACATTAGTACAGTCAGGAAGGAAACTTACTTTAAACAGTCACAAGTGACTAATAAATGTGATTCTGTCATCCTGAAAATGTTATGGATGGCCCGAGCTGCTAAGATTTGACGCATTGTTTCATAAACAACATCTGGACTTTCATCAGACTTCACCTCCATAGAGCCAAGAAACCTTACAATGAACAACTGATGAAGAATTGAATCTAAGAGAAA